TTTTTTTTTTTTTTTTTTCCCAAAATAGTTTGTAGTGTTTAGGCTGTTATGATGTCATGTCCAACGCAATTGTATGTATGTTTTAAGGTTTTTTTTTTTCCCTTTCGTTATCAAATTTATTTATATTGTTATATGAATTATAATAAAAAAATAATATTTTCATAATGCTTCGCGCCCTGATTGCCACTTTTGCGTGATTAAGACATTGTGTGTAACCCCTTTTCTTTTTCCTTTTCCTTCCTGTCCCCCCCCCCCTTTTCCTTTTGCTTTTTTCCTTTTTCTTTTTTTGTCTCTTTGCGTCTCTCGTGTGCCACGTGGCATGTCTCAGAATGTGACTATAAAGAGGAAGAACAGGCCGAGGGACATTCTTACACGCCGATCCACGAAGCGAGAGCGAGCGAGCGAGCGAGCGAGCGAGCGAGAGAGAGAGAGAGAGAGAGAGAGAGAGAGAGAGAGAGCTTTCTTTTTGGGTTTCGTCCTATCGTTGTCTTTCATCTCCATACGAGGATATACTACACAGAGAGAGAGAGAGAGAGAGAGAGAGAGAGAGAGAGAGAGAGAGAGAGAGAGAGAGAGGCAGGCATGGATGCGACGGCGGCGGTATTGGGAGGACATCTCTCTCTCCCTCTCCCACCGTGCGCTAGCCCATCTAACATACTTAGCCATTCTCAACGACAGCCGATCAATGGCAATAATGGAGGAGGGAGGTGTGGAGGAGGAAGGAGAAGTAGGCGCTTGGTTGCTGAACGGACCTCGGTCGGTTCCGTTTGTAAACTTCGATCGGTGCCGTTTGATACCGTTAGCGTGCACGTGTCACAAACGGCACCAATCACATTTCCGAGACAGCGAACTTGTGATTGCCAGCATCCGGTTGTCGGAGTGCAGGAGGGTATGGTGGTGGAGATGTGTACACGTGGCAAGCTGAGGAGACGCACACGTGTCACATCCGCTGCTGGTTATCCTCCTCTTCCTCCTCCTCCTCGTCCTCCTCTTGATATGCCTTGGGCGGCGCACAGGCGTTCATCATCGAGAAGCTCTTTTGGAAGTCCCGGCTATGTCGGCGACGAATTGCTGCCGCAGGGAGCTGGAGCATTGCAGCAGGAGGGAGTGCAGAGATCGTCTTTCCTAGCTATGGTGGACAGCAGGAAGATGAGGAGGAGGACGAGGAGAGGGATGAACAGGATGGAGGCGAAGATGGGAAGGAGGCCTGAGCCGCTGCCTCGTGTCGTGTCCAAGCTTGGTGGATATGGCGGAAGGAATGGAGGAGTTGTGTGCGCTTCAAGAAAAGAGGGAGGAGGGGAAGGGAGAGAATCACACATGGAGGAGGAGAAGAGGAGGAGGAGGAGGGGGAGTGGCAGGGGGAGTAGGAGTAGGGAGAGTCTTAGCAGATTGGCGGCTATGGTTGATGGCGGCGACTGGGTTCTTGTCAGTCAAGAGGAACAAGAGATTTCCGAAAGGGAGAAGCAGAGAGATGGTAGAGAGAAAGAAGCGGAGAGAGGAGAGAGCGACACGAGATCCCAGGGGGAAGCCGTGACCAGTGGCAGAGAAGGACCCGTGGAAGCTCTTCCCGAAGAGGAGCTATGGTGGCAATGGAAGCCTATCCCAGAGAATCAGAGGAGACCAAGTGAATGGAACCAGCGAGTCGGGGATGTAGATACGGTAAGTGATCTCTTTCTCTCTCTCTCTCTCTCTCTCTCTCTGTGTCCCCCTCTCTCTCTCCCTCTCCCTCTCTCTCTCTCTCTATCTATCTATCTCTATCGTCAATCTGAACTGCCCGGTAAACCGTAGACAGAGAGGGAGAAGAGGACAACATATTACATATAGGGTTCTCCCTCTCTGCCTGACAGTATATATATTGTCGAACAGCTCTGTTTGACAATATACCGGCCATTCGGGGTTTTTGGCATCCTGGTTGGTTGTTCCCCGTTGTTCGGCCCTTTGAGAGGCGGGGCGGTGCTTGTATGTGGGAATCGTCATCCGGGATTGTCTTCTCTTTTTTTCTTGGTTGTCACACTGTGGATCGTC